GGTTCCTCGAATCGATCGACCTGTTGAGGTCGAGTAGGTTGCTCGATCATGTATCTAGGTGGAAGAAATCCAGGTCGAATCGACCCAAGCGGACATGGCAGAGAATATGAAAACGTTCATGAAACGAATAGCATTAGGGAGAAGTTGATGCAGGGGAAGCGAGAACCACTCGCAAATGCGAAGTAGCTCAGGACTTAGGGGAAGGCGGAGACCGAGTTTGAACTGAATCTCGAAAAAAGGGTAACTATCCTGCGGAGGATGATCGTATTTGTCAGAGGGAGAAGATCTAAGGAACGCCCAACCAAGAGGTTGGCCGATTTTTTCAGGATTGAACCAAGGGTGAGAAGGAGAAGTAGAAGATGGGCGCTTGGAAAGTTTTTTGGTCGAGGACCGTTTGGGTGGAGAATTTGAAGAGGGAGGAGCAGCGGGCTGCAGAGAGATAACCTCGTCCTCCTCTGGCTCATCTAAGGCGCCGAGAGCAGGTCGACGGCGGCAGAGGGGGATATTATCCATGGAATCTCCAGAGTTTGAAGAAACGACGCGGGCTGTGAAAATACGGGTAGGAACTGTGTCGCCGGGGCGAAGGATAGAGAGAGGGACAGCTCGAGCGCAGAGGGTAGTATTTCAACTGAATCAGAGGAGGTCTCAGAGTCTGAAAATAAAATCAAAACAAAGACAAAGAAAACAATATCAGCTATATAGAGGAAAAACTAGACAGGGGTTTTGCCACCTCTGATTGGTTCCTCTCTAATCCAACTGCCTCAATAATCAACATTGCAAGAACAGCTTCTGACCACTCCCTCATCATGCTAAACACAAATAACCACATTGGCAAGAAGAAGAAAAGATTTCTTTTTTTACTGTAGATGGACAGAGAGGGAGGATATCTCAGATGTGGTCCTCACTGCATGGAGTATTCCCCAATCTGGTACTCCCTTCTTCAAGCTCAAGGAAAAGGTGAAAGCTGTCAGAGTGGCACGACTACAATGGAGCTCCAAGTTCAAAACTCAGAACCAAGCCAAAATTGTTGAACTCTCAAAGCAAATGGAGGAATTAAGAGCTGCAGGGACTGCAACCAACTGGGATGCTTGGTCTGAGAAGCACAGAGAACTTGAGCAGGCCCATCACATGGAGGAAAAATATTGGCAACAAAAAACCAGGATCAAATGGCTCAAGGAAGGTGACACCAACTCTAAGTTCTACCTTGCTTACACCCTTCACAGAAGAAAGAAAAATGCCATCACCAGGCTACTCTCAGACAACAACTCCACTCTCACTTCTCAAATGGAAATTGAAAACCATATTACCAGCTACTATCATGATCTCTTCTCATCTGAAGGCTCTTGGGGAGGTGACTCTCTTCTCAGCTTAATCCCTCAATCCATCACTGCTGATATGAACACTGACCTGCTCAAGCCTGTTGAAGGTGAGGAAATAAAAGCTGCTCTCTTCAGTCTTCCTCCACACAACTCCCCTGGTGAGGATGGTATGACTCCTCACTTCTACCAACACTTTTGGCATATTATTCACTCTGATGTCATTGAAGCTATTCAAAGTTTCTTCAATTCTGGGTTACTTCTTCAGTACTGGAACCATACTCTGGTGACTTTGGTGCCTAAATGTAACAATCCAAGTAATTTGACTCAGTATAGACCGATTTCTCTGTGCACTGTCTTTTACAAAATCCTCTCTAAACTACTTGCCTTGAGACTGAAAAACTGTCTACTCCTGTATTGGTCCATGTCCAATCTGCTTTTATTCAAGGAAGACAGTTACTTGACAATGTGGTGCTTGCACAAGAAGCCTTTCACTTTCTTAACAGGCACAGAACAGGAAAAAATCATTTTATGGCTCTGAAACTTGACTTGATGAAGGCTTTTGACAGGGTTGAATGGGTTTGTTTGGAAAAAATCATGCTGCAAATGGGCTTCAGCCTTTCCTTTGTTAAACTCTTGATGGTTTGTGTCTCTACTTCCTTCTTCTCTTTCAACATTAATGGCACTTTGAGTGGAGTTGTCTATCCTTCTAGGAAAATTAGGCAGGGGGACCCTTTGTCCCCCTACCTTTTCATCATTGTCACTGAACTGCTCTCTGCTCTTATTAATGAAGCTCTTTGCAACTCTGATTTGTTGGGTTTGAGGTTGTCCCGGAATGGCCCAGTTTTTTCACATCTCCTTTTTGCAGATGATGCATTGTTCTTCTGCAAAGCTGAAACCAATCAAGCCAATGTTTTGATGAATTTGCTCAACAGATATAAACTCTTCACTGGACAAAGAGTAAATTGGTAGAAATAATCCATATTTTTCAGAAGAAATACCCCACCTCATCTGCAATCTCACATTTGTTCTGCTTTGCAAGGAATTCAGCTCCATACATCTACAAGGTATCTTGGGCTACCTCTTGGCATAGGTAAAACCAAAAAGGAAACATTTTCATTTGTCCTTGAAACTGTCTATGCTAGACTCCAAAGCTGGAAAAACAAGATGTTGACCTCTGCAGGTAAGGAAGTTCTTATCAAAGCTGTGATTGATGCTTTACCTGTCTTTACTATGTCTTGCTTCCAATTGCCAATATCCATTTGCAAAGCTATCACAAGCCTTAGTGCCCACTTCTGGTGGAGTAAGGGTGACACCCAAGAGAAGGGCATTCACTGGAAGGCATTGAAATACCTCACCCTGCCCAAAGAAGATGGAGGTTTGGGTTTCAAGGATATCAGACTGTTTAATCAAGCTCTCATCTGCAAACAACTCTGGAGATTAGTCACTGAACCCAACCTTTTGATGTCTAAAGTTCTTAAGGCTAGGTACTTTCCAGATTGCTCTATCTTTGAAGTGACTAAATCCCAAAACAGCTCATGGCTGTTTCACACTTGGGTGGACTGCATTCCCATTCTTGCACAAGGACTAAGAACAGAAATCAGAAATAGGGCTTCCACCAGAATTGAAGACATTAACTGGATCCCCTCTATGCCTCTCCTCAAACCCAACCTGTTGAGCATTGCCAGAAACTCCATTACTTGGGTTAAAGAACTTCTGGAGGATGGTAAGGGATGGAACATTTGGCTTGTCCAACAACTTTTCCCTGCAGCTGAAAGTAAAGATATTCTCAATATCCAGTCCCTTAATCTCAATCACAATGACAGATTCTTTTGGGTGCCTTGATCAGAAAGGGAAGTTCTCTGTATCTTCCACTTACTCTTATCTCCTCAAACAGAAACTTCTTTCCCTTGATATTCCAGATTCAAGCATGCATCTCTCTGATACTAAAAAGGCTAGGCTCAGAAGTTGGAGACTCAAAGTTAAAGGCACTGTCAAGCAGTTCCTCTGGAGATGCTTCTCTGGTCGCTTGCCTGTGAACATGAATCTGAGGAAAAGATGTGTCTCAGTTGATGCTTTGTGTCCTTGTTGTGGTGAATCCCCTGAAACCATAGAGCATGTACTTTTCTCCTGTCATAGAACTCAACTTCTGTGGAAGATGGGTCCAATTAACTGGAATTCTTCAGATATGATTGGATGCTCTTTCAAATCCTGGTGGAGACACTTATGCACTATCAAGAAAACTCTAGTGGCCGAAGAGAGGATTCAACTATCTACATATCTCCCATGGTGGCTCTGGAAATCACGCAACTTATGGCTCTTTGAGAAGACCCTTATGCCTATTCCTGTTGTGATCAAGATGGCTCACAAGGAATGGCTTGAATTCTCAACTCTATATGGTTGGCTTTGTTCCTTTAT